GTCGGCGTGGAAGAGTAGGCCAAATACCCTCCAGAGGGGCTCTCTACAGCTCCTTCTCTATGCATGTATGTTGAACTTCTTTCGCTACTGTAAGTAACCAACACGTGCTAATCGGAGGTGTGGGGGGAGGACCAAAAAACTAAACACAAAAAGCAGTTCCAAAGAAATTCGTTTTCAATTTATATTTTAAAACGGAGCCCCTTCATTCAGCAGCGGCGTAAGAAATTGCAGCCCTGCACCTTTACCTTTCACAAATGCCCTGTCAATAAATGAACACATCAGAGTATGTGTCCTCATTTATATATTTAGCATCACACTTTATAGAATGTATAACACTTTAGTCCACCAACCTATGGCCCCCGCTGGATCAATGTTTTCTAGCAACACGTATAAGCAGGCAAACACTGCACTAGCTTCAACGTTCAGTCTCAGCAACAGAGTCAAACCTGTTAAACAAATGTCACATACCTGCCGGGTGGTATAGGCAAGAGGTGTCATGATAAATTGTGGGTAATGTTGCCTCACTATAAGCACGTGCTTATAGTGAGGCGTATAGTTAAACCGTGGCTGAGCTATCACTATCTCGCCACTGTGACGAGATGTTAAATACCTCGCCCGGTATGCAGGAGGTTGTGGGTTCGATCCCGACCCTGATGCTAGTATATTTGGGGTTTGCATGTTCTCCCCGTGGTCGTGTGGACTTTTCTTTCCAGATCCTCCATTTTTTTTCTCCACATTTAGACTCAACATGCGTTTTAGAGTATTTTACTGCTCTAAATTTCCACATGATAAGCCACTTCATTGACCTATCATTTGTGGCCAGGTCACTTGTAAAAAAAATTGCTATATAGCTCAGTCGGCCTTATCTGATCAAATAAAAAAAAAATTGTTACGTTTTTTGACCTCCTAGTGGAAGTCAGTCAAACACAATGTTACATTTAAACAAAGATATCCCATACAGTCTTATCACGTTTTTCCATCGACAGCCAAGTTAAGTCAATGTTTTTTTTTATATTTTGCCTCCTATACGCATGAGCATCTCAGAGTGGTTTACACCACATCTCATTTCAAACATTTGAATGGGCACCCCTAGTAGCAGCTATCCCTGTGGGCACAAGGTGACTCAGCAACAATGGCCTCCATGTGGGCATTAGTCTGTCACTGGGGGGCAATAATTGCTACATATAATTCCACTTGAATAGACAGGAGTGCACTTGAACTCAAGTTGAAAGAAAACTCGAATCGGTAAAAAAAAGGCATTTCCTTGAATTTCCAAGTTACTGAAGTCATCACATGAGTTCCACAGGTCTTTCCCAGAAACACTTCGGAGTAAGACTTTCCCAGAAAAATGTGCAAGTAAAAAAGGTCACGACCAGATCTCTGACAAAATGAATCATTAAATGTTAAATTAAACATTCGTGCCATCTGCAACCTTTTCGATCGATGTTTGGTGAAGTTCTACACGAGGCCAGAAATCTCATGTTGGGAGGTTGAGGCTGGCCCATGAAGTGAAATTGGCCTAGAAAATTCAGGCTACAGCCTGCAAGGGCAGTCTGTTTAAGTTGCACAATAATATTGAAACACAGTGCTGGTGAAGCAATATCAAATATACGTACTGGAATTCTATTGCTCAAGGATAGGCAGAAAAATTGACAAGCTTGCTTGACAGCTTGCTCTCATGCAGAACATTATCAACCACATTGAATTGAACAAATACTTTTTCTTTTGATGTAAAGCTTTCGTGACTACAGGAATTCATATTCTTCTTCTTTGGTTCTTTCGGTAAAGTCACGTAGAATGAGAATAAAATAATAAAATAAAACTATAAAATTCTCACCAGAATTTTATTGTTTTATTTTATTCTCATTCTACGTGACTTTACCGAAAGAACCAAAGAAGATGAATCCTTGCAGGCACGAAAGCTTTAAATCGAAATTTAAAATTCATATTCTTGTTTCTTCAGGTGTGATGATGATGATTGCTTGTGTTGCAGTCGAAACGTCGTGAGAATTTTATTGCTTTATATTTTTATTATTTTATTGTTTCCCTTCTACGTGACTTTACCGAAAGAACCAAGAATATAAATACTTTTTCACTCAAGTCGACTAGCTTTTCTGCACGATGTGCTGAGACTTACCCAGAAACTAATGATGAACTATGAGAATTTGAAGAAGTGCACTTATATGAAAGTGTTAAACAAAAAAAAAACATATCTGCAGTGGCAAGGCTGCTCTAATTTAAAAGTGGGTTTTGCCATAGCAGCTCACAGCGAACTTCGGAAGTCCTGACAACCAAATGAGCAGCCAACCATGGCTCAAATCCAGTGTCCTGCCACCACCCAACCTCCCCCAATTCGTACCTGATGTTGGACTTTCTCAGCCACACTGTTGCCCGCGAGGAACATTCCTTGGGGCCTACGTCACCTCGCCGAGACATGATGACAAAGCCAGAAAATATTCCAGCCTTCGGGAACAGATTTGAAGATTATGCACACTTTATCCCCAAACACGGGGCACAGCACCTGCCAGATGTGTCAGAGCGCTGCAAGTATGCGGAGGGCTCGCGGAAAATTATTTGCACGTGGCGCTGTGCAGAAGGACCCGGCATCTTCTGGAATAGATTTCCGGCCCCAGTCGCAAACATGCCGCGGTGTCGCAGAGACAGCACTGCCCGAGAAGCTACAGACAATCAGGGTGTTGTTGTCATTGTTCTATTTGTAAAAGTTGCTCGATGAGAATGTAAGGGAAAATAGGGAAGGTAGGTTTCATGTGGTAGCGTCAGCAGGACCGTGGGCAGTAAAACATTTTAACAATCAAGGAGACAGGCCAATTTCACGACTACTTCTTCTGCTGCTATGAGGTTTGACTAGCAAAGGATTGCACGCGCCCTCCGTCCCAGCCAGTCACTTGCAAGAGTCTGCATGGAGAAGAATGGCCTGTGTCCATCTCGATCAAATGAGGCCAGCCAGATGATGAGGCCAGCCAGCTTCCAATCGCCCCTAGGTCTCACTCCCGTGCCATGAGTTGACACATCATCAAGTCATAATAATAGGGGTTTTCCCCTTTTTTCTGGCAACGAAACTGAAACCTTTTTTTACAAGGAATCATGTGTGCATTAACCACAATACTTGTGGTCAAAATGCAAACAAAAAACACACTGATAATATATGCACTGTCCTTGAAACTGATTGGTCCACACCAGAGACGGCTTTCTTTTGAGCCTCGTCTCAATTTGTGCTAGACCAGAGGACGCCAAAAGGCGTACAGCTCAAAGACAATGCACAATATTATCATAGTGTGTTTTTTGTTTGCATTTTGACCACAAGTATTGTGGTCAATGCACACATGAGTCCTTGTAAAAAGGTTTCAATTTTGTTGCCAGAAAAAAGGGGAAAAACCCTATTATTATGTTTTGGTACTGGCAAAGGAAGTCTAATGATGATCATCAAGTCAGTTTCACCCCAGTTAGGAATTAACTATTACCCAACTACTAACTTACCAGCGTTCAGTACGTTGCTCACCACACACGTCTTACTCACCACTTTCTCTAAGGGCATTTATAACTGCCAGCTTTCTTACATTTATTTCGTGACAAAACCTCGGGCCTGTTTTTATATCTTGGTTGACTTTACGTGTTTTTGTCATTTTTCATTTGCAAAACCGCAGCTGGCCACATACACTCCGATATTGTACGTGATTTGTATCGTTGGTCGCCGTTACATTACACGTGCCGCGATAGTCAGAACCAGACTGATGGGCTTTTCAAATCAAGCCTGCTCCCAAGCGAGGCTGATAAAACAAAGCGTACGCACCTGTTCACTCTGGTAGGGGTTAGTGCGCAATTGTAAAACGTGTTAATGTTTTTATATGCAGCCAAGCCTGACCAGAGCAGGGCCAAACTGGGAAGGTCTGGCAAGGGTAAACACCATGTTATATTATTGCCTTTGGGATACTAAAGGGTCCCCTTTGCACAAGGGGAGCTTTGCTTCCTTCCTCCCTTCCATTAGCCTTCCCTGTCAGTCAGACCCCAGCTCAAGAATGCTCGCTTCACGCAGCCCGAAAAGGAACATACTTTCCCAGATGTGCTTGCAAACGTTTGGCACAGTGTAATACAATGCTGAGAAGTGTGGCGATGGCCATTGCGTCGTTATATAATACACGCACGAAACTGTGAATGCAATTAATGATTGCTCTGCTCGTTGGCTGATTGTGTATCCAAAGACATGGCTTCGCTGAGAGCATTCCCCACACTTTCATTTAATCCTAAATTAATATATTTTTTTTCCCACACAAAAAACGTGTAGAACTATACCATTATAACAACCAAGCCATTTCAAGTTGCACATGAAACACATTACTGTATTTTATCCATACAAGGACACACGTTAATAAGGGGAAGCCAATTAAAGGTTGGGATATTTTAGCTGAGTACTTTGGACACGTAGCAGGAAGACGTGGTGCAGTGAAACACACAATTGGAGAGGATGATTTACGAAAAACGGACCACAGGGAGGCACAGGACGTGATGGACAGGCGGTGCGAGAACTTGATGAGCACTTGGGGTCCCCCGCGGTGGGTATGATGAATCTGATCACAAGATCGCCAGAGACGGCACGCGAAGCCGCAGTCGGGCGAGGGTCTCCATAGCAAGACCGTGGGGTACAGTGCGTTATAAATTATATCCCTTAATCTTAAACAAAACACAAAATCACGTCATCAAAAACAGTGACCCATGCCTCACAGCAGTCCGCTAGAACTTCACCGCATTGGAAAGCAATGGGGTGTTTTTTTTCCCTTAACAGATTGACCTACATCAGATTGCATTTTTGTGTGTGTGTGTGTACATTTTTACAACATTTTTTCTTTCTTGCAGGTGAGGTAACAAGTGAGTTCATTGTCCTCCACCCGGCATTATCTTTGTGTCGGCCCGCAGTTTAGGCTGCCGCCGGTAACGGTGGCGGGTGGTGGGGGGGACATTGTGGTTTGCTCGGGTGCCCTCACCTGCGCGGAGGCGGCCAGCCTTTGATTGCACTCCTTCTCCATCTGTCTGAACCGCGCGCTGGCCTGGTAAAATAAAGTAAAAAAAAAACACAGAGACGGCACAGCGTCACCCACAGTGGCCGTGGGCACGGTAAAGATAACACGCATGTAGCAATAGGGGCAGGAAACGGAGCCGTGCAACGCAAGACAGCTGGTTAAACAACGAGGCCGCGGGACACCTTATTTTCACAGCAAATACGCAGCCGCGCTGGGTCACGTACGTGAAGTCATATATTTGCCTTCCAAGGTGCACTTCCCTGAAAATGATAATTTCCAAGAATTTTTTTTTTGCGGATCAGGCTTTGAAACAAAATTTTTTTTTAAAAACCTCCCAAATAAACTTCCTCGTAATCATTCAAAAACTTAATCTTTGCGTGCTATTTCGGAATTGCTAGATATTACGACGAGTGTGGGGGGGGGTTTAGACGAGTGGATTAGTACTCTTAGCACCAACTCGCCGAGCCGGTTTGTGCTGAATCGACATTTAAATTCCTGCAGCTGCACGGTCATTTTTGTGGAACTTTACCAAGATTGTGAGAACAGCCGTAAAATGAGCATTGCAGACCCTGTGCCATCAAGGGCAGGGCACGCCATGTTATTGTCATCTTCTCAAATTCCACATTTTGATATTTAAAATAAAAGTGTCTCCATACCTGTCAACCCATACGGGTCACCCGTATTCTTGTAGAGGGAAATTGAGTAAAGAAAATGTTTGATCTATTTGTTTGTGTTTCTCCCCTGTGATGGAACTTAGTAGGATAAACGTTGAGATTTATAAGGGCACGGGGTGCCCAATAAGGCCTGAATTGGTCTGTAATAAGGCAGGGGCACTGATAAGGGGTTGACAGGTATGCTACCTCTCCGTCAGTGGCCCTTAGCTGGTGGTGGGAATTCGACACACCAAAAACGGAGACTCAAGTCTCTCACAGTACGTCGTTCAGAGTTTACGAAGATTTCATGTTTACCACTGTTAACATGACGGCGTGAAAACGTGAGGGGGTGGGAGATGGGAAATACAAATCAAGAGATATCATGGTGAAAATTCTGAAAAGCAAATGGGCTTGGACAAGGACACATCAGCAGACGGGGGTTGGTGGCCAATGGACGAGACTGGCAGCCAAAGGAGGGAACGCGTCCAAGAGAATGACCACCATGTACATGGAGCAATGAGATCAGTCCATGTGCAGACGTGAGATGGCAGCCCCTATTGCTACATGTTATCTTTATAGCAGTGGACAGACAATGTCGGATGATGATCATCATCATCCTTACATGACTGCAGCTTGCCAAATCTCCCAGATCCCCTTTACAAAAGGCGTGTTAATCCTAAAAGAAAAGTTAACCGAGGAAATAATTATTCACAATGTCATTCCTTAACAACAATGTTAAAGATTACAATGTTATTCCTTTAATAACAAACCTTGGTCCTTTAACAAACCGGTGTGCTCAACTAGTAACGAATGTGCATATTTTGTGTACGTGACAAACCTTACTAATTGGCTGTGTCGGGTGGTGGCGGGTTTAACGACACATTTTTATTTATGCGATCTAACCCAAAAAAACCTATATTATGGATAATGTAGTTCCTGTCTGGTAAAATAGAGGTTGTATTCAAGTGATTCTCGTGCATTCCGTGGAAGCAAATATGTTCCTTGGTCCCAGAATATCCAACAACCGGTTCGTGTTCCAAAGACAGAATGGAGCTCCTTGAGTGATGCGGGGCCATGGGTCATTAATGCGCAGTAACCCACAGACCGTGTTACACGGTAATGGCATCGACTGCTTGTTTACAGCTGGTTCACCTGGCAAGCTGTTTTATATATATATCTGCATTACAGCGGTATGTGAGAAAGGTATGCTTCCTGTTGCCCCCCCCCCTCCCAAAAAAAAACCCTAGGCGCTGCTGTATAGTTAAGCGACTGCATGGAAACAGATACAAATCACAAGTAGCCTGTTCGCTTCTCCAGGGCATGATTTATGGAGTTAGTTGCACACGTAAAAACTCGTAGGGGGATACACGTAATCAATGTTTTAAAACTGGCTGATCTGCATACATAAATTATTACATGCAAGACATAAGCAGCACACTGCATTATTTAAGGTGTACCATGTAATTTGCAATCCTTTAAAGCTATATTTACCAAAAGTCAGTTAAGTACCTTTATTAATAACCGTTGTGCATCGTGCTGTTTCAAATTCATTAAAATACATCAGACAAAAAAGGTTTCTTCTTTGAAGCCACATTGATAAATAAATAACGTAAGTAACAAACAAACATACATATTTGAAGTGAACAAGATCCCCCCCCCCCACCTCCCACTCCAAGCCCCTCCCCTGCCAATAGCGTAATGGTGCGATCACACCCAACTGCTTAACACAGATAACGGGCCAAACCACTGACGCTAGAGGGGAGGTGTTCTGGTGAGCATGCCCCCCGACACCAACTGCGTTTGCTAACTTCCCAGCTGATAATTTTTTTACATACCTTTGGCTAAAATCTAAACAAATTGTCCATCCTGTGGAAGGAAATCATGTCCTTCATTCATTTACAAATCTCCAGTGATCAAAAGAGCTTGCGCACGTGAATGGTTAAGAATGCCAAAGTATATACAACTTATTGACGGGAATGCGTGCAATTGCAGCAAACTGTCGGGGCAAAAAATGTGTAAGTAAGTGAACGCCTCCTGAGGATGGTGCGCCACAATGGTACGTTGGCAGTGGTGCACAAGCAAAATCAACAAAAAATAACTCAACACTTTTTGTCAGGCACACTGTGGCCTCAAAAGGAAAAATGGATATAGTAGGCGACGTTTCAGGCAATGACCCTTCTTCATAGCACATACGTTGAGGCCACGGAGAGAAAGGTGAATTATGAGAGTTGGAAACTGTCCTTGACACCATGGGGCCTTGAGAAATGTCAGTAGATTTCCTGATTAGCACTTTTTAAACTGGCATTTGAATAGTTACCGAATAGGAACTATTGATAATAGCCTGTGATTATAATACTGTTTTACTTGATTTAAACAGCTGCCTAATCTTTCGAATAATAGACCATCAAGAAAGGTATCCTGGGTAGTCCCCACAAGGGAAACAGAGACACACTTCATCCTCATTAGGGCTCATCGGCAAGCTATGCATAGCTGAAGACAGCCAAAGCTACTCCAGTGTTGCAGTAAATTGGTTATCGTGAGGGTTTATAAGATAATCATACTCAGCTACAGATTGCTATTAATACCCAGAGTATTATAAACAAGGAGACCAGAGCGTAATGAAAGCAGACGACAGTTACAAAGAAAAAAAATAGGACTCTTACTTGTGAATGGGATTATATCTTCCGTCAAACTTAATCTCCATCATATCCATCGCCATCATTACCGTATTATAAAAATACCAATATTTCCATCCTTAAAAAAAAAACATGCTGAAATATTCAAACATTGCCATTTTCTGAGAAGATATATAGTACACATAATTAGACATCTTCACGAGCAGAAAGATACAATGAGGGTTCAGTCACGCCAGTGAGACTGCATGTCAAGGACAGGAAAACAAACCATTAGCTGCAGGATGGACTGCACATGATTTATTAGGATTCTTCGCATGTTGGTGGCTTTGGGGGCCCTGCCAGACTTGTGACTGAGCAGATGAACTCTAAGCGTTGTCGTGGCGGTGGTGGTGGTGGGGGGGGGGGAGGGATGAGCGAGTGAGAAGAGAGAGTGGGGAGGTTGGGAGGGAGAGAGAAATGGAGAAAGCCAAGAAGGGGAAAGCAAGGGAGAGGGGGGGTATGAGGACGGAGGCGGAGGCAGACTGAGAAAGGAGCCTGAGAGCCGCCGAAGAGACGTCTTTGATGTGCCTCCAGAAAGCAGGCGTAGAACATCCTCGCAGCCGGTCGTACAAACGCCTACCCAGCGTGATGCGTGAAGAAGGGCGGGGGACGACTCCAAAAACCCACACATCAGTTGGCCTCAGCCCAGGCGCAGGACGACACATCGCGGAGGAGACGCGGGAGACGCGCGCGCTCACAGTCTCCGCAGGCGTCTAAGGATCCACTTGTGTGACTTGGTTTCAAATTTCCCCGCCTGGGCCGCGGCACATAATGATATCATTGCATCTGTGCCCACCAGAGAGCCCAGAGGGATGCTTATCAATTATTTTAAGTTCAAGGGGGAGAAGAAAAAAACCACAAAGACGTGGGGGGGTGAAAAAAAATGATGTCGCAACAGTGGTTGGAGTGTTTTGGCCTCCATACATTTATATTTTTTAAACAAAGAATATGAAAAGGCTGGGGTTTTTTTTTTACAGATAATGAATGTTTGATGCTACGCAACTTTTACTGACACCTTTATAATTTAAAATAATGCATGACTATATAGTTTGGTTATTTTGCAAAAGTTGTGGTCATGTTCGTAGCTTGGCTGGATGGCAGTGTGCAGCAGAGCACTTGACTTACAATCGCAAGGATTGTTAATCCTGGCAGGGTATTGACAGCCTAGCCTCTTATTTCATCATCTAATAATCCACCAAGCACCTGTAAAACAAGCTTATTTTGACGCTCTATCTCCCCGGTGGACGCATGCCATACCTTGACTGCTAGTTCGACGTTATTATTGACCATCTGCCATCGTTCCTTCTGTCGATGTGTCACGAGTAACACTTTACGGATGGTTAACAATAATTTTCTCATGGGAAGACGTGGCTCCTGCCATTGGAATGTGGAATTCAAACCTTGATGTTGGGTCAATAATGGAGATAAGAACCATCTCATGCTTGTTTGGTTTCGTTTTGGCCGAAGAATGAAAACGTGGTTGCCCATGGTTTCATCAGATGTGGGCTTCTGTGCAACAAAGTACGTTCAGTGGGGGTCACTTTCAAGATGTGAACATCCGGGCTTCATAAACTCAGGTGTGTGTGGGGACGATCCTGACTCAATGAAACCAGCCAGCAAGATACAGCAGGGCCTCAAGCTCACTGTGAAATGATTGGATCTCGTTGGCGTTGAAATTAAGTGCACGTACCAATTCATT